TTGAACACAAATGGAAACCAAAAAAGAACAGATAGCTAACCTTATTATCACACAAAATTAACTTTAAGTCAAAACTGTAACAAGAAACAAAAATCATTACATAATGATAAAGGGGTCATTTAATCAAGAGGATACAACAACTGTAAATATATATATGCACTCAACATTGGAGTACCTAATACAGAAGACATATATAACAGATATGAAAGATGAAGCAGACAACAATGCAATAACAGTAGGGGACTTTATAATCCCACTTTACAATGGATAGATGATCCAGACAGTAAATTAATTGGGAAACTTGGGACTCAAACTATACTTTAGGCCAAATGGACCTACCAGACATTTACAGAACATACCATCCAACAGCAGCAGCCTATACCTTCTTTTCATAGGCACATGGGACATCCTCAAAAATGGATCATATGTTAGGTCACAAAACAATTCTTACCATATTTTAAAAAGATTGAAATCGTACCAATCTGACGATAATGCTATGAAACTGAAAGTCAATAAAAGGAGGAAACCTGGAAAATTCACAAATGTGTGGAAATTAACACACTCCTGCAGAACAAATGGGTGGTAATAATAATAAAAAAAAATTAACTTGAAACAAATGAAAAAGTAAACATAACAATGAATCATGGAACACTACATCAAAAACTAATGATGTAATGTATGGTGATTAACATAACATAAAGAAAGAAAAAGTAAACATAGTTATATACTACATTTATGGAATGCAGCAAAAGCAGTTGTAACTGGGAGGTTTATAGCAATAAATGCTATATTAAGAAAAAGCTCCCAAATAAACAACCTAACTGTATACCTCAAGGAATTACAAGAAGAACAAAGCCCATGTTAGCAGAAGGAAAGAAATAACAAAGATCAGAGCAGAAATAAATGAAATTGAAACAAATATAACAATAGAAAGGCACAACAAAACTACAAGCTGGTTTCTCTACGAGGTAAACAAAATTGACAAAACTTTAGCAGAATAACCAACAAAAAGAGAAGACTCAAATAAATAAAACTAGAAATGCAAGAGGAAATACTACAACTGATACTACAGAAATATATATGATCATAAAGACTTCCACGAACAATTATATACCAAAAAATTATACTTTAAAAGAAATAAAATTTCCTAGAAGCACATAATCTACCAAGAATGAATCAGAAAAAAAAAAATCTGAATAGATCCATTATGAGTAGAGATTGAATAAGCAATCAAAAACCTCCTAAAACAGAAAACCCCAGGACCAGATGGCTTAACTGGCAAATTCTACCAGAAAGAAAGAAAAATTAATGTCAACCCTTCTCAAACTCTTCCAAAAAACTGAAGAGGAGGGAACACTTCAAATCTCATTCTATAAAGCCAGTATTACCATGATTCCAAAGCCACATAAAGGTACTACAAGAAAACTGTAGACCAATACCCCAATGAATAAACATGCAGTAATTCTCAACAAAATATTAGCAAACTGAATTTAAGAACATGTTAAATGGATTATACACTATGACCAAGAAGGATTTATCCCTGGATGCAAGGATGGATTCAGCATATGAAAATCAGTAAGTATAATACATCACATTAATGGATGAAAGATAAAAGTCACATGATCATATCAATAGATGTAGAAGAAGCATTTCACAAAATACAACATCTTTTCATGATAAAAATGCTCAACAAATTGGTTATAGAAAGCACACACCTCAACATAATAAAGGCCATATACAACAAACCCACAGCTACCATCATACTCAAAAGTGAAAAACAGAAAGCTTTTCTTCTAAGATCAGGAACAAGACAAGGATGCCCACTATAACCAGTCATATTCCACATATTACTAGGAGACCAAAACAGAACAATTAGGCAGGAAAAGGAAATAAAAAGCATCCAAGTCAAAAAAGAAGAAGTAAAATTGTTGTTATTTGCAGATAACATGATTTTTTTATATAGAAAACTGCAAAGATTCATCCCAAAACTGCTGGAACTAGTTAAAAATTCAGTGAGTTTCAGGGTATAAAATCAACACAGAAAACCAGTTACATTTCGCACTAATAATTAAACAACCAAAAACAAAAAAACAAAAACCTATCCCATTAACAATAGCTTAAAAAAAACCAAAATACCAAAAAATAAATTTAGCAAAGACGGGAAAGAGCTATAAAATGAAAACTGTAAGACTTTCTTAAAAGAAATCAAAGAAGAAACAAATGGAAAGACATCCCATATTCATGAACTGAAATAATATCATTAATTGTCCATACTACACAAAGCCATTCAACTTAATCACTATCAAAATCCCAATGGCATTCTTCACAGAAACAGAAAACACAATCTTAAAATTTGTGTGGAAATGCATAAGACCTTGAATAGTCAAAGCAATCCTGAGAAAGAAGAACAAAAACAGAGGAATTATATTTCCTGATTTTGAACTGTATTACAGATCTATAGTAACTAAAACAATATGGTTTGGTATAAAAATAGACACATAGACCAAGAAAATATAACAGAGAGCCCAGAATTAATACCCAACATGTAGAGTCAAATAATACACTATAAGGGAGCCAAGAACACTCAATGGAGAAAGTATAGTCTCTTCAACAAATATTGCTGAGAAAACTGGATAAACACAGCAGAACAATGAAACTGGACTCCTCATTTATAAAACTCAAAAAAATCAACTCAAAATATATCAAAGACTGAAACATAAGACTTGATACCACAAAACGCCCAGAAAAAAACATAGGGAAATAGCTCCTTGACATAGGTCTTGGAAATGGTTTTTTGCATGTGATACCAAAAGCAAAACAACAAAACCAAAAATCAACAAGCTGGACTATATCAAACTTAAAAGCTTCTGGACAGCAAAAGAAACAATCAATAAAATGAAAAGACAATCTACATAATGGCAGGAAATTTTTGCAAACAGCAGAATACACATTATTCTCAAATGCACATGGAACATTCTCAAGGATAATTTGTATGTGAGGCCACAAAATGGGTCTCAATAAATTTAAGAAGATGGATGAAATAATACATCTTTTCCAAAAACAATGGTATGAAGCTAGAAATCAATTACAAAGAAAAAACAAAAACATGTGGAGATTAAACAACACTATCAACAATCAATGGGTCAATGAAATCAAACAGGAAATAAAAAAATATCTTGAGACAAATGAAAATGAAAACACATTTCAAAATCTATGGAACACAAAATAGCAGTTCTAACAGGGAAATTTATAATGATACAGCCCTTACCCACCTAAAGAAACAAGAAAATCTCTAATAAATAATCAACTTTATACCTAAAGAATGAAAAAAAGGAGAAAAAAACAAAGCACAAAGTTAGTAGAGGGAAGGAAATAATAAAGATTAGAGTGTAAATAAATGAAATAGAGACTAAAAAAAAAATAGAGAAGACTGATGAAACTAAGAGCTGATTCTTTGAAAAGATAAAACTGATAACCCTTTAGCCAACTCATCAAGAAAACGAGTGGTTCCAAATAAATAACGTGAGAAAAGAAAGTTATAATTGATACCACAGAAATACAAAGGATCAAAAGAGACTATGAAAAGTTATATGCCAACACATTGGAAAACCTAGAAGAAATGGATAAATTCCTAGAAACATACGAACTTCCATGTCTGAATCATTAAGAATTAGAAAATCTGAATAGATTGGTAATTAAATTGAATCAATAATTAAAAAACAAAACAAAACAAAACAAAAAAACCAAAAACCTCCCAGCAAACAAGTCTAGGACCAGACAGCTTCACAGGTAAATTCTACCAAACATTTAAAGACAAGTTAATAAACTATCCTTCTCAAACTATTCCAAAAAATTTAAGAAGGAATGCTTCTAAATACATTCTATGAGGCCAGCATTACCCTGATACTAACCCAGACAAAAACACTACAAAAAAAAGAAAATTACAGACCAATATCCCTGATGAACATAGATGTAAAAATCCTCAACAAAATATAAGCAAAATGAATTTAAAAAATACATCAAAAGCATTATATACCATGATCAAGTGGGATTTATTCCAGGGATGCAAGGAGAGTTCAATATCCACAAATCAATCAATGTAATTCACCCCACTAACAAAATGAAAGACAAAAACCATACGATCATCTCAACAGATGCAGACAAAACAGCATTTGACAAAATTCAACATAAATTTATGATAAAAACTCTCAACAAAGTGGGTATAGAGGACACATGCCTCAACATAATGAAGGCAATATATGACAAACACACAGCTAATATCATACTGCTCAGTGAAAATCTGAACACTTTTCCTATAAGATGGGGAAGTCTCCTCCATAAATGGTGTTGGGAAAACTGGACTGTTAAATGCAAAAGAATGAAACTGGACTATTTTCTTATACCATATACATAAATAAACTCCAAATGGATTAAAGACCTGATATCATAAAACTCCTAGAAGAAAATACAGTAGTTAACTCTTTGACATTGATCTTAGCAACATTTTTTTAGATATGTCTCCTCAGGCAAGAACATTAAAAGGGGCTACATTAAACTAAAAAGTTTATTGCACAGCAAAAGAAATCATCAAAATGAAAAAGCAACCTATTTGCAAATGATATATCTGATAAGGAATTAACATCCAAAATATATTAAAAAAACTCATACATCCCAATATTAAAAAAAAAAAACAATCCAATTAAAAAATGGGCAGTGGACCTGAATAGACATTTTTCCAAAGAAGACATGGAGATGGCCTACAGACACATAAAACAATACCCAACATCTCTAGTCATCAGGTAAATACAAATCAAAACCTCAATGAGGTATCACCTCACACCTGTCAGGATGGCTATCATCAAATCAACAAATAAATAACAAGTGTTGGTGAGAATGTGGAGAAAAGAGACACACATGGACTGTTGGTGAGAATGCAAACTGGTGCAGCCACTATGGAAAACAGTATGGAGGTTCCTCAAAAAATTAAAAGTAGAAAATACCATACAATCCAGCAATTCCTCTTCTGGGTATTTATCCAAAGAAAATGAAAACACTGGGCGCCTGGGTGGCTCAGATGGTTAAGCGTCTGCCTTCGGCTCAGGTCATGATCTCAGGGTCCTGGGATCGAATTCCGCATCGGGCTCCCTGCTCCTTGGGAGCCTGCTTCTCCCTCTGCCTTTCTCTCTCGCTCTGTCTCTCATGAATAAAAAAAAAAAAAAGAAAATCTTTTAAAAAAAAAGAAAATGAAAACACTAATACAACAAGACACAGGCACTCCTATGTTCACTGCAGCATTATTTACAATAGGCAAGGTATGGCAGCAACCTAGGTCCACTGATGGATAACTGGGTAAAGAAGATGTGGTAAATTTACACAATGGAACATCACTCAGCCATAAAAAGGAATGAAATCTTGCCATTCACAACAATATGAACTGACCTAGAGGGTGTTACGCTACGTGAAATAAGTCAGACAGAGAAAGACAAATGCTGTATGATTTCATTTATATGTAGAATCCAAAGAACGAAACAAATGAACAAACAAAACAGAAACACAGTCATAGAGAAAAAAAAAAAAAAAAAGGCGTTTGCTGGAGTGGGGGAGGGGGGTGGTGGTGGTGACAGACCAAATTGGTGAAGAAGATTAAGAGGTACAATATTCCAGTTATAAAATAAACACAGGAAGTAATGTACAGCATAGGGAATATAGTTAATAATATTGTAAGAACTCTGTATACGACAGACGGTAACGAGATATTGTAGTGACCATTTTGTAATGTATATAAATAGTAAATCACTGTTACACACCTGAACTAGTACAACACTGTATGTCAATTATTCTTCAATAAAAAAATAAATCCTAAAAAATTAAATTAAATTGAAAAAATAAGGTAAAATAATAAAAATTTAAAAGGCAAAAAAAAAAAAAGATAAAATTGAGGACAGTAGTATTTCTGATGGGGAGGTAAAATTTTATCTCTACCATCTTAGAGTCTCCAGCTGGGCCTGAGAATTAAACTGACTAGTTAAAAGACAGATTAACAGGAGAAAAGCATACAAATCCTATAAAATAACTAAGATATATGGCAAACATAAAGGAAAATAGGAATTATTTTAACAAGGTCTCTTTGTACAGAGTACTCAGTCTCAACTCCTGACTTTGGTGATAAGAATGTTTGCTCCCTGCATAGGGAGGGCATCTTTCATTTGGAAGGTCAGAGCACCCTTCTTTGTACCTGCTGTTTTTCCAGTGCCTTTAGCTAAAAATAATCCTTATGCCACAGTGGCATATTCTTAGGTGGCATATTCTGCCACTCTTCAATAGTATTCTAGGTTCTTACATTGTTCTTACATTAGGTGATCCATTCACAGAAATCCGTAACATATATGTGATACATAGGTTCTTTTGCATGTATTTTAATGTATATGAAAAACACATCTTTAAAATATAAAACAGGGGAGCCTGGGTGGCTCAATCGGTTAAGCGGCTGCCTTCGGCTCAGGTCATGATCCTGGGGTCCTGGGATCGAGCCCCGCATTGGGCTCCCTCCTCCGCAGGGAGCCTGCTTCTCCCTCTGCCTCTCTCTCACTCATGAATAAAAAATAAAAATCTTTAAAAATAAAAATATAAAATAATACTATATTACCTCTGAGCCAAACATATAACAAATGTTCAAGAAATATTAACTATATTCAATGTGAGGGGAAAGTTCCTACATAATAGTAGAATTGAATCATGGTCTCTATAAAATAGGACCTATTTTTTAAGGATAAAAAGGAACCTGAGGAAATGGATAAAAATGTTCAGAACTTCTAGGTGATGAGAGGCAGAGGTAACTTTTTCTGGATCTTCATATTTATCTGTACTTTCAAATCTTCTGCATTAAGCATGCTTAAATTACTAAGAGTGACAACAGAACCAAACAGAATAGTCAATAAATACAATGTCTCATGCACATTATGCACTTAAATATCTGTCATAATATAAAGAAAAATATGGCGCCTGGGTGGCTCAGTTGGTTGAGCGACTGCCTTCGGCTCAGGTCATGATCCTGGAGTCCCCGGATCGAGTCCCGCATCGGGCTCCCTGCTCAGCAGGGAGTCTGCTTCTCCCTCTGACCCTCCCCCCTCTCGTGTGCTTTCTCTCTCTCATTCTCTCTCTCAAATAAATAAATAAAATCTTTAAAAATATAGATATAAAGAAAAATAAATATCTCATTTTTTAAATATTATCAAACTACTAAATGGCTTTGCTACACCATTTTATCCCAGCAAAGTCACTCGAAGACCAAGACAGGATATATTCTAAAGGTCCCTTGTGCACCTGTGCATGGCTTATTAATAGTTTAGCTAATTCCTCATTTGGTTAGTTAGCATATCCCAAAGATACTGCAGAAACACAGCAGTCAGACTAAATACCTACTCAATTCTTCATTTAATCTCTCTGGGCCTATGAACTGTAAAAGCCCCAACAGTTCTGCTATAAAGAATAATGGAGATATCATAAAAACAATCTGGAATCTGTAAAGGGCAAGGCAGTTGAGAGCTGCTCATGTCATCCTATACATCTGAGTATCTTGGGGGTATAATCAGGTTTGTAACCCCAGTGACTATCAAAGAGTTTCTGAAACAAAAAAGAGGTTCAATAATGGCTTCTTAAATAGAATTTTTAAATGTACCTTCCTCCTCCCCCACCCAATGGTAGCTCTATCACTTCTGTTTTATAGATTATAAACCTCCAACAACTAAGATGGTTTTTGATAAAAATCAAAACTGTTCTTAAAATTCAGCTCTGGGTAAGCTTTTCTTCTGTCTCATGTGTGTTATATCTTCCTAACAGTACTCTGTGTTTACCCACAAGTAGAAACTGTATTAACTTGTTTTGGGTTCAGCATAATACAATGTTTGGCAAATTAAGCATTTTAATACACAACAGGGATTCTTTATTTCTTGTTCCAAAAGTGAAAGCTCAATAGCTTTCAGGAAGAGTTGGCAGAAATTACCCTAAATACATAAAACTGCTGGTGATACTACCGTAGGCAATTTGATGATAAGCCACTCTTTGTGTTATAAAAGAATGAACATAGCAACATGCTTTGTTCATAATTTCAGCCTGACGTAATCCTAAAGTTGAAGTGTATGATTTGTGACAAATGGACCTGAGTCAAGGACAAGATTTCCTTGATGAATAGGCTTTACTGAGTTAGTCACAGAGGGAGTAAATATACACAATTCAGCAATAGGGCTTATCTTCAGGATTTTTAAGGGCAGGCTTCCCATGACCACTCACATTCCAACCCAGTCCATGCTTTCCATAGCTGAACCATGGCATAAGTATCAGGCATTTTCTAAACTGCTGATAAACTGATGGCGTTGCTTGGTTGAAGGTAATTTTAAAGGTTAAAGGTTATAGGCCAAGTTTATTTTTCAACAGATATTACACTTCGTTTTTCTTCAACACCGTTTACACAAGAGTAGCCCTTCATATTTTTTTCTTCTCCAACACACATGCCACATGACACTTAAATGCACAAATACATGCCAGGCTATAGAATAAGTAAGTGCATTCACAGTAACACCATCTCCTCCTCCCCATGCTCAAGGAAACAAGTCGAAAAACTATTATAAAATTAAGTGTAAGTCTACCCTCATTTGTATTGTAAAAGTAAACTAATGACAAACTTAATCCAATTCCTAGATGTAACAAATTACCTGCTAAATATCTCATGACCATTCACTACTCTGAATTATAGGGGGATGATGTCACACGGGGAAAGTTAATTACACATGGGGGGGGAGGGAATGCTAGTGGTACACAGTTCAAGAGAATTTATGTGAAAAATCTTATCAAGGACTCTTACAATGAATTTGAATAAAGCCAGATGCTAATCAGTGGCTCACTTTTACCACTAGAATAAAATAATTAATGTACTGCTCTGCTGATTCCTTAATATTAAAAGCCCTTTAACAGAAAACTTGCTGTATTCCATGTTCATATGGGAACCTACAATTCTAAGAACATGTTTCCAGAACTTTTTTTGGTGGGAGTTGGGAGGAACCACTCAAAACAGACAGTAATTCTTTCTACCACATGTACTTTATCAAAACTTACTACTAATTCCTCTGTCAATTTCAAAGGGTTTGGGAAGACTCGAGTGGATCTGAGGGAACTGCAGAATCAGGCTAATCTAGAGACCCTCCAATGTTAAATCTTTCAGAATCAGATCCTTAGCACAAAGCCAGACAAACGCAAGGTGCAAACAGACTCAGTGGACTAAACACCTCACCCTTCGTTAGACACCAAGAAGACTGATGTTTCCAAGTGGTAGAGTTATTACTTGGGTTGTGAACAAATACCTCCCCATTAACAGTTCCTTAGAACACTATTCTAGAAACTTCCAGTTTTACCAAAGAATTTCCATTAAAACTGGTTATTTTTTGTTAAAAATAATAAAATCAGTATTGTCAAAGAAGTGTTGGTTGATACAAAGGGAAATTAAGAATGCCTTCTCTAGTTTGTTTTATATCCTAGTTGAAGGCATGAAAACACAGCTATAATATATTTGTGGTTTATTTAGAGAAACATGCTGGCAAATTAGCAGTGTTACTTATTTGGAAATACTGATGTAATAGTAATTTTAAAAAACAAAAACTACTTCAAGAATTCAAGTCAAATTTTCATTCTGTATAAAATTTCAATTAACACAAACAATTTGGGCTAGACTATTAAAACAGCCAAGCAGTAGGGAGACATTTAATGAATAAACTTCCCTGTTAACACTTTGCCTAAGTAGACTTTTTCAGAGATACTGTGTTCTGGCTACATGAGGCTGGCTTTGTTTCCTTCAATAAATGAGAGAAGGGAAAAAGGGGCAGGGAATGTGACAATCACACTTAATACACACCAGGCTGCCATCTGCCACTTTTCGTCCTTTGCTGGCTCATTGATTATTCATGAATTCACTACCTGAAAAGTGCTATATTTATCTTTACAGCCACAAAGCTGTCAATTCAGTTTCAAGCAAGCCTGTCTTTGTTTTCAGTGAAATGCAGTTTGCACAGAAAAAGGCCTCGTGTATATGACACCGCCCTGTGCTATAATACAAATATTAAAAAAAAAACAAACACCGATATAAGTGAGTTTCCATGTTGGTCCCAGCCTGAGCCTTATTATTGTTTTTTTTTAAGACTGTCACATCAAAAGAAAAATGAAGCAGTCTCAACTTTTAGAGCCTCTGGCCTCTACAGATTTCCACAAAGGCCCTGAATCCTGCTCCCTGTATTTTGTTATCAATGGCCTTACTGTTTCCTTTTCTTTTAATCTTTTATACATGCTTGTTTCTGGCAAATTTACTCTGCTATTAACTTACCTGCTTAAAGCTACCTGAGTTCCAAGCACTGCTTCGCTGGGATGCATTACATTAGCTCTAGCTCAAAATCTGTCCTAGAGTTTCCTTTTCCCAGACAGTCATCTCCATGAAAGATTTCACAGGTCATTCAAATTTCAACTTGTTTGCCAGCATCTAAAGAAGACATATTTTTAAAAAGTTATAAAAAGAGACACTCAGCTTTTATCACACCCAGACAAGAAGATAGGGAAAACAAGCTTGCCTAAAGACATTTTAAATGCTTCCTTGATGGCTGTAAGCTTAAAACTATCACCACAAATCCATCATATTTTTCTGGAGGGAGAAAGATCAGAGGAAGAAGATAAATTAAAAATATACTTGCATCCTAAAAATTCCTTGACTAGCCTGAAGAATTAAAAAGCAAAGTGAAATCTACACTCCAAAATTACTGTCATTTAAAAGTTTGATAATAAATAATGCCAAAAATGTAAATTCAATTTAACTTTCCCTAGGTGTGCTCAACAATAATTTTGACATGAAAGTTCAAAACAGGGGTGCCTGGGTGGCTCAGTCAGTTAAGTGTCTGTCTTTGACTCAGGTCATGATCCCAGTGTCCTGGGATCGATCCCCATGTCACACTTTCTGCTCAGCAGAAAGCCTGCTTCTCCCTCTCTCTCTGCCTGCCGCTCCCCCTTCTTGTGCTCTCTCTCTCTCTTTCTCTGTCAAATAAATAAATAAAAATATTTTTTAAAAAAAGAAAGTTCAAAACATGTGATAAAGGTTAAGAGTTAGTGACTGAGGGAAAAGACATAATCTGAAGTAAAAATAGCACTTCATAAATAGTTCCAACACGTGATGCATTCTTCCATGTTTTATTTCAATTTATCTTGTGAGGATCCCCAAACTTAAAAATTTCTTTGTAATTCAAGAATGTTGTGATTAAGACCTATACCTCCATTAACAGAAAAATGAAGCAGAAAGAGCACTTATACTTCAGAACTCCACCATGATGTACGACTAGTCATCAAATTCCTAAAGTTATTAAAGCATGAGATCAATGTTTACACCTAAGAAAACAAAAGAAAAAAAAAAAGATTCAAATACAGGTTGAATGTTTTCATGATTTAAAAAAAAAATTTAATTGCAGAGACTTATCCATGTCAGTGTATAATTGTTTAATAGGATTATCTGTTCCCAGAAGTTCCTAGCTTATTTGTTCTTGACCCAATGCATCACCCTTTGTTCAGTCATCCAGAATAAAAACCTGGGCCTCTTCTAGCACCCTGTTTTCATTAGTCAGGACTAGGTACAGCTGCATATAGCCATCTACAACAAGAACAAAAACAGATATAGGGGCGCCTGGGTGGCTCAGTTATTAAGCGTCTGCCTTCAACTCAGGTCATGATCCCGGGGTCCTGGGATCAAGCCCCGCATCAGGCTCCCTGCTCCGCGGGAAGCCTGCTTCTCCCTCCCCCACTTCCCCTACTTGTGTTCCCTCTCTCGCTGTGTCTCTCTCTGTCAAATAAATAAAATTAAAAAAAAAAAAAAGCAATATGCCTAATAAAGAGTTCAAAGGAATGGTCATATGGACACTCACTGGACTTCAGAGAAGAGTGGGTGAACTCTGAGAATTCAACAAAGAGAATACCTAAAAAAGAGCCAGTCAGAACTAAAGAATACAATAACGAAAATGAAAAATACACTAGAGGGAATCAACAGCAGCTTAAAGGATGAAGAAGAATGGATAAGCGATCTGGAAGGCAGGGTTCACCTCTGTGACAACATCAAGAATAGTAACATTCATTATTTATTGGGGTCCCAGAAGGAGAAGTGAGAGAGAAGAGGCAGAAAATTTATTTGAAGAAATAGTATCTGACAACTTTCCTAATCTAGGGAAGGAAAGAGACATCCAGGTCCAGGAAGTAGAGAGAGACTCAAATAAGAAGAGCCCAAGGAGGTCAACACCAAAACACATAATAGTTAAAATGACAAAAATTAAAGATAAAGAGAGAATCTAAACACCAGCCAGAGAAAAGAAAATACATACAAGGGAAACCTCGTAAGACTATCAGGCAAATTTTCAGAAGAAACACTGCAGTCCAGAAGAAAGTAGCACAATATATTCAAAACATTGAAAGGAAAAAAAAAACTTCAGCCAAAAAATGCTACCTGCCACAGATATCATTCACAACTGAAGAAGAAATAAAAGACTTTCCCAAATAAACAAAAGTTAAAAGTGAATTCATCATCACTACACAGCCCTAACAAGAGATGTTAAAGGGAATTCTTTAAGTGGAAAGAAAAGTCCATAACTATAAATAAGAAAATTATGAAAGGAAGAAATTCCAGTGGTAAAAGAAAATACATAGTAAAAGTACCAACCATTTGCAAAATTAGTATTAAGGTTAAATCAAAAAAGTAAAATCAATTATATCTACAAATATTAGTAAAGGGATACACAAAATTAAAAAGTATAAAATATTACATCATATACATAAAACATGGAGAGGAGAGTAAAAATATAGGGCTTCTAGAATGTATTCAAACGTAAGCAACCATCAACTTAATATAGACTGCTCTATGCACGAGATGTTATATATGACCTTCATGGTAACCTCAAACCAAAAACCTATACTAGAGACAAAAAATAAAGAGAAACAAATCCAAGCATTAACACTAAAGAAATCCATCAAACACAGGGAAGAGAGCAAGAGACGAAGAAAGGAACAGAGAAGAACTACAAGACCAACCAGAAAACAATTAAAATGGAAATAAGTAAAAACCTATCAATAATTACTTTAAATCTAAATGGACCATACACTCTAATCAAAATACATGGGGTAACTGAATGGGTAAAAAAAACAAGATCCATTTATAAGCTTCCTGCCTACAAGAGACTCACTTCAGACCTAAAGGCATATACAAATTAAAAGTGAAGGGATGGATATTCCATGCAAATAGAACAACAAAATGCTAGGATAGCAATACTCACATCAAACAAAATAAACTTTAAAACAAAGACTGCAACAAGAGACAAAAAAAGTTCATAACATAACGATAAAGGAATCAATTCAATAAGAGGTATTACAACTGTAACTATCTCTGCACCCAACATAGGAGCACCTAAATATATAATCCATGTGTTAACAGATAAAAAGGAAGAAACTGGCAGTAATCCGGTAACAGGAAGGGATGTTAACACCCCACTTACATCAGGGATAGATCATTCAGATAGTAACACATTAAGGAAACAGTGGCTTTGAATGATTTATTAAACCAGTTGGGGTTAACAGATAATAAAGAATATCCCATCCAGAAATAGCAGAATACACAGTCTTTAAGGTAAACATGGAACATGTTAGGCCATAAACCAAATCTCAATTAATTCAAGATGACTGAAATCATATCAAGCATCTTTTCCAACCACAATAGTATTTAGCTAAAAATCAATTACTAGGAAAAAGCTGGAAGAAACACAAACACATGTGGGCTAAATAAAATGTTACTAAACAGCCAATGGGTTCACAAAGAAATAGAGGAAATCAAAAAATACCTGGAGTCAAATGAAAATGGAAACATTATAGTTCAAAATCTTTGAGATGCAGCAAAAGCAGTTCTAAGAGGGAAGTTTACAGCAATATAGGCCTACCTCAAGAAACAATAAGAATCTCAAATAAACAATCTAACCTCACACCTAAAGAACTAAAAAAGAAAAAACAAAGCCCAAAGCTAGTAGAGGGAAGAAAATAATAAAGATCGGAGTAGAAACTAATGAAACAGAGACTTAAAAAACAACAGAAAAGATCAATGAGACTAAAAGCTAGTTCTCTGGAAAAGATAAACAAAATTGATAACCATTTAGCCAGACTCAGCAAGTAAAAAGAGAGGACTCAATAAATAAAATCAGAAATAAAAGAGGAGAAATTACAACTGACACCAGAGAAATACAAAGGATTATAAGAGATTACTATGAAAAATTATATGCCAATAAATTGGACAACCTGGAAGAAATGAATCAATTCCTAGAAACATAAAATCTTCCAAGACAGAATCAGGAAGAAACAGAAAATCTGAACAGACCAGTTACTAGTGATGATATTGAATCATTACTCCCAGGATGTCTGGAGGGCTCAGTCAGTTGAGCGTCAGGCTCTTGGTTTCAGCTCAGGTTGTGAGATCGGGCCCCATGCTGGGATCCATGCTGAATGTGGAGCCTCCTTGTGATACTCTCTCTCTCTCTCTCTGCTCCTCCCCACCCTCCCCCATCTCTTACACACGCACTCTCTCTCAAAAAAAAAAAGAAAGAAAATCAAAAACAAAAACAAAAAAACTCCCAAGAAACTAAAGGCCAGGAAATTCATTCACAGGTAAATTCTACCAAACATTTAAAGAAGAGTTAATGCCTATGCTTCAAAAATTATTCCAAAAAATTAAAGAGGAAGGAATGCTTCCCAATTCATTCTATGATACCAGCATTATGGGACACCAAACACAAAGACACTACAAAAAAAAAAAAAAGAAAGAAAGAAAGAAAATTACAGGCCAATATCCCTGATGAATACAGATGCAAAAATCCTCAACAAAATATTAGCAAATCGAATTTTTTTTTTTAAAGATTTTATTTATCTATTTGAGAGAGAGAAAGAGATAGAGAGAGCATGAGAGGGGGGAAGGGTCAGGGGGAGAAGCGGACTCCCTGCTGAGCAGGGAGCCCAATGTGGGGCTTGATCCCGGGACTCCAGGATCATGACCTGAGCCTAAGGCAGTCGCTCAACCAACTGAGCCACCCAGGTGCCCAGCAAATCGAATTTAAAAACACATTAAAAGGATCATTTACTTCAAATAAGCAGGATTTCTTCCAGGGACACAAAGATGGTTCAATATGCACAAATCAATCAATGTGATACACCAAATTAACAAAACGAAGGACAAAAATCATATGATCACCTCAACAGATGCAGAAGCATCTGACAAAATTCAACATCCATTCACAATAAAAACCTGCAACAAAGTGGCTACAGAAGGAACATACCTTAACATGGTAAAGGCCATATATCAAAACCATAGCTAACATCATGTGCAATAGTGAAAATCTGAAAGCTTTTCCTCTAAGATCAGGAATAAGACAAGGATGTCCACCCTTACTACTTCTATTCAACATAGTACTGGAAGTC